TGGTTCCCTTAACTCTTTTTAAAAAGTTTTTTAGAACTTTGAAATGATGCTATCAGATCCTGAGCTTTTCCTTTTGGGGAGACTACTTCTGCTTAAATCTCATCGCTTTTATTGATCTAGTCAGTCTGTCTATTTCCTCCTGGTTCAATCTAGGTAAATTACGTGTGTTCAGACGTTTGTCCTTCTCATCTAGGTTTTCTTCTTAGTTGGTATATTGTTGATTCACAATATTATCTCATGATCTTTTGTTTTTATTTTGTATCTGTTGTAAATATTGCCTATTTCATTACCCATTTTATTTATTGAGTTGCTTTCAGTTTTTCTTGATTTGTCCATTTTATTTATCTTCTCAAAAAATCAGCTTTTTTGTTTTATTGATATTTATGGTAGTTTTATTATCTATTTAATTTATTTCTGCTCTAAACTTTATTATTTTTTTTTCTGGCATTCTCAGGATTTTATATTGTTGTTTTGCAAGTTCCTGAAGATGTGTTGGTTGGCTACTTATTTGACACCTTTCTACTGTTTTTTTTTTTTTTTCTATTGAGCACTGACTGCTCTCTTTCAAGTGCTTTGCTATGTCCCAAAGATTACAGAAGGTGTTCATTACCTTTGGTTTCAATAAATCTTTTGATTTTTAGGCTTAATGTGTTCAGTATTTTTGAAGTCATTCAGGAGTACATTGGTTAGTTTCCATATTTTTGTGTATTTACAAAAGTTCTTTCTGTGGTTGATTTCAAGTTTAATTCCACCGTGTTTGAAAAAGATGCTAGATACAGTTTTTATACTTTTAAATTTATAAAGTCTTATTTTGTGTCCTGTTATGTAGTTGGCATTTGAAAACATTCTGTGTGGGGATGAGAAAAACATGTATTTTGTAGCTTTTGAGTGAAATGTTCTATACATGTCTGCCAGGTCCATTTGGTTTATGGTATCATTTAGTTCTGTGTATCGTTTTTAATTTTTTTGTCTAGATGACCTGTCCAATAGTGACAGTGGATGCTGAAATCCCCCAAATTGTGTGTTACATTCTACCTCTCCCTTTAAATCTAGCAATCTTTCTTTTACATATTTGGATACCCTAGTGCTGGGTGCATAAATATTAATAATCATTATATCTTCTTGGTGAATTAATCATTTTTAGTACCATATTTTTTGTATCTTTTTAAAGTTTTTGTCCTGAAGTCTATTTGTCGGATATTAGAATCATAGACTCTAGGCTTTTTTGGTTTTAATTTGCTTGAAATGACTTTTTCTAGCCCTTCACTCCTGGTCCACTTTGTCTTCATCAGTGAGGTGTGTTTATTGTAAGGAATGTATAGAAGGCCTTTCTTTTTCATCCATTCAACCTACCTGTGCCTTCAATTTGTAGAATTTAATTTTTTAACTTTTAATATTATTACTGATATTTACATAGGTATTTCTGCCATTTCATTAGTCATTTTCTTTTTTTTTTTTAAAGTCACAATCTCTTGGGTATGGGAATTCTTCTTTTTTTTAAATAATTATTTATTTATTTATTCATCCATTTATTTTAATTTGACCAGAGAGAGACAGAGAGAAAGAGGGGAAGTGAGAAAGAAGCCACCAGGTCCAGGACTTGAACCGTGGTCGGCCATATGGGAGTGTCCAGTGCCTTAACCACCACACCACCCTCTGGTCCCTCATTAGTCATTTTCTTAGTTGTTCTGTGTTCTTTTATTTCTATTTGTCTTCCTTTCGTTTTCCTGATGTAGTATTTCCTTAAGTATTTATTAAATAAGTGCCCTAGTGTTTGTAAACTTTCTGTATTTGTTTATCTGTGAATGATTTTATTTCTCCTTCCCATGTGAAGGATAATATTGCCAGGTGTAGTATTCATGGCCTAATTTTTCTTCTGTGTTTCAAATATGTGTTCCCATTTTCCCTTTGCCTTCATCGCTTCAGTAAAGAAGTCTGAGGTTAGTTAGAAGGGGCAAACTGTGTAGGTAACCTGGTGTTTCTCTCTTGCCATGATTAGAATATTGTCTTTAATTTTACAGTTTGAGTACCTTAGAGAGAATTTTCTTATGTTGAATCTATTTGGTGTTCTTTGTATTTCCTGGATGTAGATGTCTGAATGTCTCTGTAGATTTGGGAATTTTTCAAATAGTATTTCATGAAAGAGATTTTCTAAACCTTTTTCCCATCTCTTCTCCTTCCAGAATACCCATTATGTGGATATTTGACTGTTTAATATGCCTAGAATTTTCTGTATGTTGGTATCTTCTTCTCCCTCCCCCCTTTTAAGGTTTATGCCATAGTGTGCTCGCCAAACAGAGACAATGAGAATAAAAGTGAGAAATCACTCTCCCCACCACCACCATGGGATGGTTATGTCACAATCCCTTTTCTTCCATTCTCCTCCTGAGAGCTTGGGCATGTACACATATGCATTTGGTATGATTTTCAAGCTACCAGGTCAGGGACTTAAACTGTGGTCAGCTATGTGGGAGTCTAGCACTTTAACCACTATGCCATTTGCTGGCCCCTACTGTCATAATTTTTAACGGTTAGTTTTTTATGCTTTTTGAAAGCTTGGACTAAATCAGAGGTATTGTCTTCAAGGTCAGAGTTTCTTTGGCATGATCTAATTTGCTGTTACTACTTTTGAGAGATTTTGATTTTCTGTTTCGTATTCTTCATCTCCAGAAGTTCTGTCTGATCCTTTTTAGGGTGTCGATCCCTTTATGCAATTCCTCTCATATCTTAGTTGACTTTCTTATCTCCTGGAATTGATTGTCAATTTTCTCTTGCATCTCATTGTGATTTCATACAATGAATATTCTGATATCCAGGATTATCTTAACCATTAGAAAATTAAAAAGGGGAGGGCAGCTCCATGGTGTAGTGGATAAGGGAGCTGAATTTTATATGGCTGTTCGCATCTCAAACTCTGGCCATGGTGCCTTGAAAAACATGCTGTGCATGTGAGTGTGTGTGTGAGTGTGTGTGTGTGTGGGGGTGGTGGTGGTGCTTGCCCCAAATTCTGACAGGATGGAGAATTGGAGAAGAAAGAATTATGACATGACTGCATCCCATTGAGGGGTGCTTCCTCTTCCTCTCTTTGTACTTCTGTCCCTTTCTAGTGAACACGTGTACCCTCTGAAAAATTAAAGAAGGAAAGAAAATCCGAAACACAATATGCATATCTTAGGGTGTGATATACAAAATAGATAATGGAATTTTATTTCAGGACACGTCATGTGACAAATATACCTTATTTACATCTAATGGTGAATTACTTAAGGTGAGACTATTCAAAACTGCTGTTTAATCTTTTGGCTAGAAAGTGAGATAAACTGAGAGAATATTATCATTTTGTTTTTCTAATTATTAAGTCTCTTAGAGACAGCATGGAATAAAAACAAGTAAGTAAATAAACGAATGTTTGTGATTTGCATCATTCCAACTTAAAATATGATAGAAAAGGAGAGAACATTTCTCTTCTGTGTCCACATAAAAAATCTCTGTTGGGGAGGTAGTTCGGTGGCTCAGCGGTCCTATGATATGAAGCAATGTGCATTTATATGGAAGATAACAGATTTCATTCCCCAGTTGATCTGTAAAGAGCAGATGAGCATGTGAGCTCTTGATCCTGGCTGGGGGAGTGTGGGAATCATGGCATGAGACCCTCCTATTGAGAGCATTTCTCTCTTTCTCTCTCTCATGAAGTTAAAACAAACCTCAAATGAAGGCTTCTAAATAGATTGGCTTAAATCTTGTGTCCATCTAAACAAATGTCTGAAGTGGAGTTTGTCACAATATTTGTTTTGGCTGTGATCATTTGCCTTCCCTCTATAGCATGGGTTTTATGATGAACAGATCATTACCAATACATAAAATGAGGACAAGGACATTCAAGAAACAGGCATGCTGCTTTCAAAAGTGGAAAGGGAAATAGCATACAAAACCCTTGATAACTACTTACAAAGTTGTGCTGGCCGCATCGAAAAGAGAATGTACTTGGGGGCCTGGTGGTTAAGGCGCTGGATGAACTGTAGTTCGAGTCCCAGACTTGGTTGCTTGCTTTCTCACTTTCCCTCACTTTCTCTGTCTCTCTCTGGTCAAATTAAAATAAATAATCTTAAAAAGAAAGAAAGGAAAGAAAAGAAAAGAGAAAAGAAAAGAAAAGGAGAATATACCATAACACTGCAAGGCCTGTTTTTCAGAAACTAAGTGCAAGAATGTAAGTGAATCTTAGAAAAAAAAATAAGCTGAGGGTACGTCTGGAAAGCCATTCAAAATCTCTTCTACATTTCACGTAGGCTTCTATGTGTGTGTTTTAAGCTTCTTTCTGCAGATTCATATCCTTGCACTTCTGCTGGATGGCTAAAAGCAAGTTTAACTGATAATAGTTCATGTCTCCCATTAAGAGCAAATCTCTGATTCTTGAATCAACATGGCAGGAAAGAGTCTCAGACAGCGTGGGAGCTGACATAGCCTTAGCCAGATCAAGAAATAATGATTCTCTCAGCCCCAATTGCAATTTCCTCGAAAAGATTTGATCAGCCTGCTAATCTAAGAACCTCCCTCCTCTTTCCTCCTTTCTCTGATGGAATGAATTGTAGCCAGAGAGGAGGTTTACCATGATTGAAACCTGCTTTTAGGATTTCCGTCTGTGTTGGTGGAGGGCTAGTAAGTATACTTTACAGAATGTTCAGTTTTGAACAAGCTATAACTTTCTATATCTTAGTATCATTATTAATAATGTGAGTCACTGGACTCGCATATAGTCGACAGTGGTTCGAGTCCCAGACTTGATGATTTAAAACACACTGGGCATGTGTGCGTGTGTGCACAACATCCCAAAAGTTGAATGGAGGAGAAGGGATTGCAGTGTGGCCATCTCTTGAGGGGTGATTTCTCATTTTCTGTCTCTGTGTCTCTCTGGCAAGTCCACCTGCCCTATAGCAAACATCTCTATTAAAAAACAAAAAACACTTTTGGTCGAGTACATTGGATGGTAGCACAGTGATAAAATGACACTGTACAAGGCTGCAGCGTACGAAAAGGTCCAGATTCACCTACCAAGTATGCCAGGAACTTGCGTAGCTGTGATCTGGGGCTTGCAGAGGTGGAGGCTAGGGGTGGATGGCAGAGTCGAGACCCTGTCAGTATTGTATCACTCTGCCTCTGTCTCTTGTCTCTCTACTCATGCAAGAAATAAATTAACTTTAAAAATGTTCTAAAAGTTATTTTCTAAAATTAAACTACAGAAAAAATTAGTCATGCTTTATTTTGAACAAAAAATAATGCTTTCTGACTCGATACATCATTAGATGATTTACAAGCTCTATCTCATTTCTTTAATGCCAGTATTTTTCTATCCGTTGATTTCAAACCATTAACTGTAACCCCCCCCCCAAAAAAAAGTTAAATATTCTTTAAAAGAATAAGATTGGCTAATATCTTAAAGCAATTCCAAAGCATGCCAGGATAATATGAAATGATCTCAAAAGGTTTAACTTGTTCTGAACAACGGTGGCCTCCCACAGTCAAGATGACTAACTTGAATTTGATAGCTTTCATTTAGATAGATAAATTGTATTAGTCTATACACTTAATTGGCTGGTAGATATATTGATATGAATGAAACATAATTTAATACATAACATCTTATGTATTCAGTAGTACATCTTATGTATTAAATAATATTTACCTTGAGTTATTTCATTCACCAAACATTATTGTGTTTCTACTTTGAACTTGAGCACTGAATTTCCAAGTAGGTAAGAAACATTATTTTTCCCAACCATTTTAATTTTGTTATTTATAAGAATAGAGATGAAACATAAGCTTGAAGATGTCAGAAGTGAGAATGTCATCAAAGTTGGAGTAGCGCAAAGATAATGGAACCGATATTCCCAGAAGAGTAAATGTAATATCCTTCCATGAGCTCCAGGCTTAAGGAAGTCCAGTAGGCCACCAGGAGGGGAACCTACTTTCCTATTGCCTGTTAGCACCAGTACTGCACATCCATTCAGAATTTTCCCCTTGCGTATATCTAATTTTGGAGTTTAAATATAGATGCAAAAGAAATGGGAATTTCTGATGATGTCTAGCTGTATTTGTTTTAGCTGACTGCATCCTTCAGGAAAATACTGCACCAAGTCATGTTCAGATACCACTGTGTAGCAGAAAAGGGGGCCATGAATAGTGTCATGGTCAGTTTGAGTTGCTATAGCAAAATACCATAGTCTGGGTGGCTTATAAACAACTATTTGGCACAGTCTGGCGGCTGGAAGTTTGAGATGAGAGTGCTGGCATGGTTGGTTCTCATGAGGGACCTTTGCAGGACTATAGGCTGCCAGCTTCTTGTGTATTCCCACGGTGGAAAGAGCAAAAGAGCTAGCTGAGGTCACTTTTATAAGAGCACTAAGTCCATATATGAAGGCTCCTCTTTCATGACCTCATTGCCCCCCAAAAACCCCACTTTATAAAACCACATTATAGGTTTAGATTTTAACACATGAATTTAAGAAGACACAAACATTCAGCCCATTGCAAATAGTTCCTGAGCCTTCTCCACCATCTGAGATGTATTGAAACCTTTTACAGTCTCATCTAGAAAGTACTGAAGAAAATTTCAGATTAGCCAAACCTGACTCAGTTTTGGGGGCCATGGTGGTTAAGGTGCTGGATCTCACATGGCCAACTGCAGTTCAAGTCCTGACCTGGTGACTTGAAAATCACACCAGGCACATGTATGTGCATGCCCAAAATCCTGAGAGGAGAATGGAGAAGGAATTGTGGCGTAGTCCTTCTCCTTGAGGGTGATTTCTTGTTTTCCCTCTTGCTGGAACTCTCTTTCTCTCTGGTAAGTGCACTTGCCTATGGCAAAAATCTTAAAAAACAAAAAATGAAACTAAACTTGACTCGGTGGTTTTTGTGCCTAGGCTAATCAAACGTGGCCAAGAGACAGGACCAAATAGTGCGGACAAGGCCTCTTCACACACACATCCCCCTGATTCTGTGTAGCAATCATTCCTAGATACTAGAGAGTAATTAAGAGTCAGGCATCCACTTCTGATGTCTACTATAGTCTTAAAGAATTAAGGCTGAAAAATAAAGGCCAGAAGAAAGGCAGTGCTTTACAAAGGAGCCAAAATTGCATTTCCATTTTTTTTTTTCAAACAATGACAGATATCATTGTCTCTGGTTGACCATGACAATTTCATTAGTAAGGTACAAATGTTTTTGCCTTTAGATGAGGTGGACCTTTAGACAAAAGTTAGGTTTTTCATTATTTCATGTTTCTAGAGTCTAGAGTCTAGATACTGTGATGCTTTCAATGCAACTATGTTTATGTGAATGCTGAAGACTTCTACAAGAGCAGTGTTCTATCACAAGGCTTAGAGTAAGTGGCTACGAGCATTCGGTATAGAACCTAACTTGAAGAGAAGATAGGAAAGGCAATTTTAACTGTGGGTTCTAAGATGAGGTAACTGAGAAAAAGTACAGGACAATAAAGATTCTTGTTGGGACCAGTGGATGGCATAATGGTTATGTTGCTAGACTCCCATGTAGTCAACTGTGGTCTGAGTCCTGGACCCAACGGCTTAAAACTCACACCAGGGCACTTGTGCGGCATGCCCAAGATCCTGAGAGGAGAATGGAGGAGAAGGGAATGTGGTGTGGTCATTTTCCCTGGGGAGGGGGGATTTCTTGCTTTCTGTCTCTCTCTGCCTCTCTGGTGAGTGCATGTGGCCTACAGCAAAAATCTCTCTTAAAAAAACGCTGCTTGGAGCTTTCACAATTCTCCAGAATGGGCATGTATGTATGCAAATATCTGAGAAGATACAATAAGGCGTTTTAAGAAGACTCTTTGATTGGCAAGAAAAAAGTCAGTAATGTGGAAAAAGTTTATAACTTAATTGGGAGGAGATCTAGATCTATAGATACACTTCCAGATCATTAGGAATATAGAACACACAGGTCCTCTTTTTTGGTTTGAAAAAGAAGGGTGAATTGCTTAAAGCAAGAAGGGACTCAAAGACAGCAAGTTGACAGGAGGATAAAATCTGGGTAAGATTTTAGTCTTTTCAAAATCATTCTTTGAGGATGATTCCAAGGAATAGAGAGGATCACTGGGCACTCTTATGATTAAACTATCCCAAAGAATAAATATGTTCTAGTAGCCGATATAATTTATTTGAGTCATTATTCTAGTGAACCTAAAACCCCTTAAAATTCTTATCGTGCCTTGGGGTACCAGCAGTTAGCTTAATGGCTATGTCACTGGACTCCCATGTAGTCGACCGTGGTTCGCGTCCTGGACCCGGTGGCTTAAAACTCACGCCGGGCGCGTGTGCGTGCATGCCCAAGATCCTGAGAGGAGAATGGAGAACGGACTGTGGCGTGGCCATCCCCCCTGGGGGTGATTTCTCACTTTCTGTCTGTCTCTCTGTCTGTCTGGTGTGCGCACGCGCTCTCTAGCAAAAAAACCTCTCCAAAAAAAAAAAAAAATTCTTATCGTGCCATAGCCTACCAGGAGTCTGAGTGCTGTGTTTGCAGGTGTGATTTAACCCTCACTACCTTGGTTTGTCTGCATATTCAGCCCAGTAGTGTTTAAAATACAAACTGCCTGTGGATATTCTATCCAGTATTAGTGTAATGTCCCTGATGGCAAAGCTCGGTAATTTGAAATCTTTTGAATGTTTATACCTGGTTGAAACAGAAGGTCATTTCATGTGAAAGTGGCATTGTTAAATGTGTGCACTGGACGTTTATTTGGATACTGAAAGACAACTGCATGCAAAGTGCAGCCCTAGTTGGTAAATAATGGTAAGTCATAGGCTGAAGGAGAGCTAAATCATGAACGAATCCTGATTTTCAGTTGGGCCCATGACTGCCTAGAAGAGCTGACATTTCCTACCCAAGAGTAGAATGAACGGGGAGACGGTAGATACGAGTAGGACAATGTCCTTGGGTGCAAGTACGTTTTCCTCTTCCTCCTTCATTTTTTCTTTTTCACTAAAATGTAGGCATGATTCTAGAACTGAAATTAGGAATAGAGGGTTTAGATGACTAAGAAAAAAAGCACAAAGTGTCCTTTGGTTTGGATGCTTTGGAGAATCATGCCTGTCTTGAACCACCTACCTTTGGACCATCAGTTGAGAAAGAAAGAAACTTCTTATCTTTTTCAGGTCATTGCTACTTTTTTGTTTGTTTTGTTTCTGTTGCTTGAAGCCCAAATGATTGCTTGCTAAAATAGTATGTATGTATCATTTGAAAAGTACTTTTTTACTTTTAAGATTTTTGTGGGGCCAGCAGTTGACGTAATGGCTATGTCACTGGACTCCCATGTAGTCAACTGCGGATCGAGTCCCGAACTTGGTGGCTTAAACTCACACCAGGCGCGTGTGCGTGAGTGCCCAAGATCCTGAGAGGAGAATGGAGGAGAAGGGATTGTGATGTGGCCATCCCGCCTGGAGGGTGGGGTGGGTGATTTCTCGCTTTCTGTCTCACTGTCTCTCTCTGTCTGGTGAGTGCACATGCCCTATAGCAAAAACCTCTACCAAAAAATTGTTTTTTGTTGTAAGGAATGTGTGCTCAAAGGACAGAGACATAGACTGGGAAAGTGAGAAATAACTCCCCAAGGAGGATGACCACACCATAATCCCTTCTCCTCCATTTTTCTCTTGGGATTTTGGACATACTCAACTTGGTTTTCAAGCTTCCAGGTCTGGGACACAAACCATGGGCGGTCCTGTGGGATCCTGCTGCCTTAATCACATCACCAGCTGGTCCAATTATTTTCTGTTTTAACCACCTTTTTCCTTCACTAACAGAATAACTACTGGTTTCAATGATTGAGTATGGGAAAAACAAGATTACTCTGAATATATCTACCTACATATCCTCTCCCCTTATATGACAGGACTGAGATGCTCATCCTTGAAAACAATTTGTGTCTCTACCTCTGCTTATTTTTGTAGAAGAGATATCCATAAATAGAAATAATGAATTAACTGCAGATATATACCATCTAGCAGTTAATACTTGTGCCAGCCATCTTTGTAGGGCTATCATTTCAATGTACATCTCCAGCATGGGGGATGTCCCTGTCTCAATGTACTTTCATTAGAATTGTATAGTAAGACCCTGTGGCTATTTCAACTAATGTCATGGGCAAAACATGAAGCAGGATGGCTCTCCTATTTATGTGTTTTTATGTATTTCGATAGGCAAAACATATTTCCTTACATTTATTGACCATTTATATTTATTCTGTGAGTGGATGGCTCATGTTCTTTTCTAAATTGTCAAGCCTTTGGGGATGTTAGTATATTCCTTATTGGTTTGAAAAGGGTCCTTTGGTCAGGAAGTTTAATAGTTACTAAAATATTTTAAGTTTGGTGATCCTATTTGATTAGACATTCAGCTTTTTGTTAATTTGAGGTCCTTTTGTTTTGGGTAAATATTGACTTTTTCCTAAATTCTAATGGCACTGAAACCAAAATGACATATTTTTCAAAAACCACTCGAGTACACCCAGGGCTACCTTATAATAATAGCGTATGTGTGCAAAATGGCATGTGATGTCGTCGTGTCCCTGAGAAGAAGGTGTTAAATATAGCTGTGCAGTAAAGAGGGCACAGAATTTATTTTATTTTTGTGGAAGGTTCACCTTAGAAAAATATTGGCAAGAGACATGGATTTCCTGGCAATGGAGTGGGATGCTTTAGATCTTAAATCAAATCTGGAAGACTATGCCCATCAGATTAAAAATGATTTGGAAGTATAAAGTTTGGGCCTAAAAGATAGGTAGCTGCTGTACAAACTGCTACTTTGACATTTGATTAAATTGTGTGAACAATCTATTTGATTTCATTCATTGCATTGCTTTATCATAACATTAGTTTTTTATGCACTTTTTAAAAAAACTTTGTGGTTCTTTCTCCCTTATTCTCTTCTTAGTTTTGTTTATTCATGGCCAACTTCTGTATGGCAAAGATCTCAATGATTTACCTGACCCTGCTTCATTTCTAGGTAATATGTTTCATATTTGAATAGGTCTGTTAATTCTATTTTGAAAGTTTGTTCTTCTACATCCTTCCAGACAGACTGGTCAAGTTATTATGAGGTGGATGGTAGAAACTGATCTATAGATACTATTTATGTCCATTTTATAGCTACAACTAACATTGAATATCTACATAGCACTTTTCATCCTATAGATTTAAAAACATTTTATTACTTTTATAAATACAGCCATTAAGTATTTGGGAGATGAGCTGATTAGCTTTCATTTTGCAAATAAAAGCCTATTGCCACAACTGGCTAGACATTATTCTTTCCAAAACTATTTAAGTAACAAGTGACTCCAGATGTCAGTTTATATTATTGTTAGGTACCCAGGGGAAGTTTCTAGATGGCCTGTATTAGGCAAATTCAAGTGGCCTGACTTGAGCCTGTGAACAGCCAGTTGGTCAAAATTCAGCCCTATCATTACATCTGCCCCTCCTTATTTAAAAAAAAAATAGGAACTAGTATGTGCAAAATACTATACATACAGAATAATTCTTACACAGAAAATGTTAGCATTTGCATTCAACATAGTTCTATAATCTGAGAAGTCATAGACTAGCAACTAATGACTAAAACAGAACAAGAAAAAAAGCAGAACGAAATAGGTGTTACTGTAGAGATACCATCAAAGCCTAAAGGAAGGAGTGATTTAAAAAAAATGGGGGCTGGTGAGAAAACACTTCCTGGAGAACTTGGCACTGGAGTTGGGCTTTGAAGCATCAGTGAGGGTTTGATATACACTTAATGCTGGGTATGGTCTGCTAATTCCAATGAGCTTTTAGGTTGTCTGGACAGATGGGGTTGATGTCACCTCTCCAAGAGCTCGTGGGGGACTTGAGATGATAGTGAGTGTAGACAAGTACAATTTGGGACATTTGACTATGGATTTAATGTGCCTGTTAGATGTAAATAAATCGTAGTAAGCTGAGTATTGTACTGATACAAGAATACCTTAGCCATTGGCGATCATGACATTTTAGAGCAGAACACCTTAGAAATGATCTTCTTAACCGTCTCCTTTACGAAGGAGGCACAAAGAGGGTCTGTGATTGACCAAGGACGCTCAGTTCACTTGAGCCCACTTTTCCGCCCTCACTAAGTCTGGCTTTGAAATCGGCACCTTTCTATATACATTACGGTAATTTTTATTGATGGTGTGAAATAAAATCATCGCAGCCCCACGCCCCATCACCAGGGAAGGAGACCTTAGCGTCCGCAGTGAACTTGCCCGCAGAGGTAAGTTTGAAGGAACGTAACCTGGACCCAATGCAGGGACTAGCTGGGGGACTCAGTACCTGCATCCTGAAAATACGGAAAAGCGGCAGCTGAAAAGAAAAGACACTGGCAGGACTTTCAACCTAGTGTCGTTTACTCATCTAGAGTAGATTGAGGCGAGGAGAGCGAGGGAGGGAGGCAGAGACTGGACTGGGGAAGACAGAGAGGGGAGAGAGAGAGAGAGAGAGAGAGAGAGAATGGTAAAATTGAACTGATATTTATTTCCAAAGTAATGCAAATGGAACCATCACAATGACTTTGTTATTCAGGCCCTCAGTATATGAAGGGAGCTTCAAATTTGGACAATGAAATCGAATGTAAGTTGCTTCTTATAACATTCTTATTTACATTTCCTTGTGCTCAGGGTCAGATTCTACCCACACATCTGCAGTTAAACCATCATCATATGGCGACCTTTCACTTGCCCAGAGGGCCTCTCTAGGAAGCAATTAGAGACCCAGTGACAACACTAAGCATCAACTGATGTTATGTGGGGAGAATGTCTCCTGTGAAGGCCTAAATATTCTTGAGGAAGGGACAAGGTCTCTCACCCAGGGCCAATGATGGGGACTGCCCTGCATGGACACATTATTGGTTACTGTAGAATATGAGCTGAACTACTCTGTTCTTCTGAGAACAAAGTTTGACCATATTCCTTGGGCAGGCTCCAGGATTAAGTGTTTCAGTAGATGCATTCTACTGTGGACACCAGACAGACAAAAGCACTGCAGACAGTGACTGAGACAGTGGAAGTAGAATCTGAGGACTTCCCAGTACATGCACTTGGGCTCCACCAACAGACTGTGACTCAGAGACCAAGAGAGGCTTCTCTGAGCCTTGAGGGTTATAGTCACTACTTGGGCCAGTAGGGGGAGACAAACCCTGGGAATCATGTAAAACAGCTCACTCTGAGCTCCCTGAGCAAGTTAGACCCACATTCTGTGGGAAGCAGATTTGCATGGAGTGTTTGCAGACAGGGTTGTGTCCAGCCCAGTCCTGTGCTGAGGGGATAAGAGGCTCAGGAGCCCTGCTCAGCTGATGACCTGAACTATCCAGCACTGGGATCCTGACCATGGCCTGGGCTCCTCTGCTCTTCACTCTCCTCACTCTCCTCACAGGTCAGGGTGGGCAGTGGGCAATGCCTCCATAGGGTTTTCCACCTCCAGTCCCCTAACTCCATCCCTGTTCTTGCTCATACAACAGTTCACTGGCTCTCCCTCTCCTTGAAGCCCTAATGAGGATCTTTGTTTCCACGGTCTCTCTCTCAGCCTGCTCTGACTCAGCCACCTACTGCATCTGCCTCCCTGGGACAAGCAGTCACACTCACTTGCGCCCTGAGCAGTGGCTACAGCAACTACGATGTAGACTGGTACCAGCAGAGCCCAGGGAAGGGCCCCAGGTTTGTGATGCGAGTAGGCACTAGTGGTATTTCAGGATCCAAAGGGGATGGAATCCTTGATCGCTTCTCAGGTTCAGGCTCTGGCCTGGATCGGTTCCTGACCATCTAGAACCTCCAGGAAGATGATGAGAGTGACTACCACTGTGGAGTGAACCATGGCAGTGGTAGCAGCAACGTGTAACCCACAGTGACACAGGTGGAGGGGAAGTGAGACCAAAAACTCCTGTCTGAGTGGCCCTGAGCCCACTTCCCTCCCCACAGGCAGCTGGTCGCCTACATGTACATACTTTCTCAGGACATTTCTACCTTAGTTTTGTGTGTGGACACGCAGGGTTGTTGCCAACCCTCTACCCTGATGGAGTTCGAGTTTCTGTGTTGTGGAGCTGTTCATACATGTATCCACAGCACAGTTGCTATCAACAGGTCTTGCCACCTCTGTCCACATTTAAATGTGTGAGCTGCCTCCACAGCAATGGGCACTGGCTGTTTCCTGGAGACACAAGTTCTTGACCTTGACCTTGACCTTGACATATGTCTCACATGGACTTCATCCACCACTATTATCTACAAGTGCACAGAGATCCTATTTTGATTGTGCCTCCTTAGTTAGAGAGACAGAGATAGAGAGAGAAAAATGATACTTGCAGGAGGATGGAAGAGACTGAGTGTGCTCTGTACCTGAGAAGCAGAAGGGGCTCCTTTCCAGCTCCCCACAGAAGGAATGTGTTCACATCCAGGCTAGGAAGCTGTGGAGGGAGCAGCATGAGCTCCCCCAGCCAGCACCTACCTTTGGGGCTCCTGTGTACTCTTTGTCATCCTGCCCAGTTCCATGGTCCTGGGGCTCCCAGACTCCCTGTGGCTGCTCTTCTCCAGCTTCTACCCTGCCAGTCAGCCAGTGAGAGGCATGTTCAGGACTCTGTGGAAAATCAGTTGCCTCCATGCACCTCTTTTGGTGGTGGCTAGACACACAGGTGAAAGATAGGTCTGTGGCTAGTTTCAGGAGCAGGATATTTCAGAGGACGCAGGTGAATTCCAGAGGAGAGATGCCCAGGGTGCCAACCTCCAAAGGAAGACTGTGGCTGAGACCTACCTGAGGAGTAGCCCCTGGAGCCTCAAGA